CAATAACACCAACTGTCTGCCCTTTAAGCAAGTTCCTCACGAATCTACAACATGAAATTGATCAAGTGGGAAAACTAGATTATGAACCATATCTAATATGGTAACATATTGAATAGTTTGATAAAGTTTAAGTAACATAAACTTCTTCCTTTATATTGATAGTTCTTCTGTCATTAAATAACACTAAGATAGAAAAGTTTATCAATAAGTATTAATTCAATTAATTAAATTCAATACATTCAACAGTTAGATTTAAATTAACCGAACACTCCTTTCTTTAATAAAATTAAACGAATTTTAAAATATTTGTCGGGGGAGGATTTTCTTTGTTTTTCTTGAAGCAAAGAAAATTCAATTTTAAAAAAATATGTAAAACATGTTTCCTTATTTATATATGTTAAAAACAAATTTTAACTTTAGTTTTACTCAAAAAAACACTTTTAATTTTTCTTATCAGTTGCAAAATACTCTACCACCACCTAAGCTGTAACGAAAAACTCCAACCAAACACCGCCTAAGTTTTTTACGTGATATGGAGTCTCAAATCTCAACTCAACCAAATAAAATTTACTTCCAATTTAGTCCTTTAAGAATGCGTTGGTTAGATTTCTTTGTAGTAAGGAATTTATAATATTTATTCCATTCAAGCAAACAAGAAGATGATTTGAATTTTCTATTCCACAGAGCAAAATGGACTGAGAGGGAAACATGCATGCATCTTCACTTATAATGCCAAAGTTTTATTTCCAGCATTTCGAAGAGATTAAACCTAGCAATTCTAACAGGTGAAACTAAAGTTGCAACAGACATTTTGTGAAACAAACTTGCTGTGGAAAGTAAAGAAGTTGCAAAATAAATGCAAATTTGATTTTTTTTTTTCATTTTATATGATGAAATGTCAAATAAGAGTTGTTATGGAACCCACCCATAATCTCCATACTGCCTCCAAACTAAAAAACTGACTTGGGTCGGCTCTCCAGCATGGAGAATCACCCATTAAAGTTGTAATCTTTAGACATGAACCTTTATTATACCTAGAGTAATCGCATAGTACTGTAGAAGGAAAATGAAAATCAATCCCAGAGGAATATAAGTCAATTCTCTCAGCTAGAAAGCTAACATCCTCTGCACCCACATCACAATATCAACATTAACTTACAGGCATTGCAGCGACACTTCTCTGTCACTCAAATGCCCACAGACTCTCCCTTCCCGCTGCCTCTTCTTCCACCGGAGCAAAGTCATTCTTGATGTTGAGAGCCTTACGGATCTCCTCTGAGGTTTTTCCCTTGATCATGTCAGCCACAGTTTGGCAAGTAAACTTCAGCAGCTCCTTGATGTTCAGATAGTTTGCAGCCTGACATAATATCCACTTAAGGTTAGACGAAAGAGTAAATATTCAAAGCAAAATCTGCTATCTTTAGGTTCTTTTTATAAATCGCCTGCAATCAAGAGCACGTATTAATATCAGAAACAACCTATCTATTCGCATTCGATGTGCTATTGCATCTTTGGTTATTGGTACATGCATTAGGTGATTGCCTAAATGCCACTTGAACAAATGTATTCGAACAAATAACCACGGTAGGAAACAACTTGAAACAAGACAAGAATCAAGATATACAAAACCTACTTAAATTATCAGAATTGGGCTAAAACCAACATCCGCCAAACACCCAATTAATTATTCTCTTACTCCATTAATCAGCTTCTATGCAGCAAGACAGGAATCCAA